AAAATTTTGCTCGCACATCGCGAAAATCCGAGCTACTCGCACGCAAAGTTGGCAAAATCGCTAAAAGTTGCCAAATCAACCGTTACAAATGTAATTAAAATGTTTGGGGAACGTTTGTCGACAGCCAGGAAGTCTGGATCGGGGGGAAATCGAAAACCGGAAGCCGCTGAGACGACAAAGAGAGTTGCCGGTAGTTTCAAGCGAAACCCTAACCTCTCTCTCCGAGATGCCGCAAATAAGCTGGGTGTATCGTCTACAACCGTGCATCGAGCCAAAAAACGAGCCGGACTATCGACTTACAAGAAGGTAGTGACTCCAAATCACGATGATAAACAAAATACGACGGCCAAAGCGCGATCCCGGAGGCTGTACACGACGATGCTGACGAAGTTTGACTGCGTGGTAATGGACGACGAAACCTACGTCAAAGCCGACTACAAGCAGCTTCCGGGACAGGAGTATAGGAGTAAGGCCCGGCAATTCGGATTTGGAAAAGCGGAAGCCTAACTGAATATTTTTCCTGAATTTTATACTAATTGAACTTGAAAAAGAAATTTAATTTGATTTTTTAAATAAACGATTTCACCGATTTACACGCGTTTTCCCTTGACCAAATTTTGACCGTATTACCCTTTACATTAGCATTACACTGGAGCTGTTTAGTTGCTCCCGGGGTGGGCGCGACCCAATTAAAAAGCAGTCATCCGTCAAAATCTGATGTCAAAATCATGCTGACGTTTTGATGTCATATTTTTTGGGGGGTCTTTCAATGATTGATAAAAAATAACGAAAACCAAAATATTTTTTGTAAAATATCAATTTAATTCATAAAACAAGCAAATTAAAACAAAACAGTTACAGATTGCGTCTCTTCCACTCTGCTTCCAGCAATTCAGTTCGCCTAATATTTCGTGGGAACCGTTTCCTGCTTCAAATTCCTCGATTATTCTCACCTTCTGAGCCAAGGTAAGCGTAGTGTGCTTCCGTTTCACGACTTGCTTATTATCCACTCCGGAACTGGAAGCTGATAATCCTTCCATTGTGAAAGCTGAACAAATTTCAGGAGGATAATTGCTACAACATTACGAACAACGTATGAATGCACAAATATTTACCAGCGCCGGAAATAACTCAACAAAATATTCAATCGATTCACTCAATTTACACTCACGCAAGACAAAAACTAAGTAGCTGCTCACAGCATCAGTTAAGCAGACGAAAGACTGAAAACCAAAACAAACGAGTCAAGCGCCCCCGGTCAACTTTGACACTTGTCGACACCCCCAAATTAGCGAATGCCATTCGATAATTGGGGTGCAGTCGTGCCCCAATTAGCGAACGACTACTGTATTCGGTTCGCGTGAAAAGGGCTTAACAAGTTTTGTGTACAAAAGTTGATAGGCCCGTTTCAAATGTTACGCGAGTATTATTCATGTGTTCATTTTTAGTAAACAGGGCCCCGCTGTTGTGCCACTTTTTGCTGATTGAGCTGACGTATACATGGTGGAAAGGGACGGATAATCGTATAGTAAGCAGAGAGTCAAAAGCAGATATAGCATCAAAAACATGGCCGCCAGCCAGGCCCCTGGTTCGCTGGCAGCTCATAATAAGTAAACAATCTCAAAATTCAGCACAGCATTTAAAAATGGTGACATGTCAAAAATTTATATAATGTTTTCCATTTTGTGAAACAGTTCATTTCAATGTAGAGGTTGTTTTTATCGGTATATATAAAGTGAAATTAAAAAAATCATCGAATATCATGTCTTCAGTTTTCTGGTATATGTTAGACAATGACATGAGCTAGCAAAAGAGACAAAGTCCAGCTGCCCTTAGCTGCCCCTACGAGAATCCCACCCACCTAAAATACAGGCAAAATATCATGTTTTTCGAGAATATTTCACTAAAACTACTATAAATTCCACAAATAGTGCAATAAAAATTTGCACCTAGTTTGTTTTCGTTGGAATAAATGCAGAAACCAGAGCAAACATATGAAAATATACAAAAAAGTTAACAAATAAGAATATTGGCATCATATTTTTCAATATACCCTATATCTCCGAAACTAAAGGTTATGGAAGTTTTATGTCTTCTGCAACTTTCCTTCATTTTAATAGATAAAAAACTTTGTTGAAAACACTATACGTCTAGGATGCTTTATTCAAAAGTTAGATTCGCGCGCCATCTCTACGACCGAGTTGCGAACTAATTATTTTTTTCAGAAGAAGCGCTTAACTAATACAAACAACTTTACCGAAGACAGTATTCTGATTGGATGCTTTTTTCAAAAGTTATTAATTTTTTCCGAGAAAATCACTGATCTGACCCAGTGCAGTGTGCGACGGCTCTCTGGATAGACCATTCAAAGGTCAAAGCAAATAACTTGCTATCAAATACACAGTTTTGATTCCACAAGAGCAAAGGAACAAACGATTGTCTAGCGGTGCTTTCCACAGATATTCAACTGGCCTTTGCGCACACGGAGCAATTGGCTTCAGTATTGGAGGCTTTTGATTCAGTTTCAGATCTGCAGAGATGTGGACTTTCTGGAATTTTGAATAATTTCTTGTACAATTTGTTGTCAGAAAAGCAAATGAACATTTCCCTTGGACAACTGACAACTTCCAGAATTAGTTACATGGACCTGCCCCAAGGTTCATGTCTCAGCCCTTGTCTTTATAACTTTTATGTCAAAGATATCGACAACTATTTGGCAGAACAATGCACGCTAAGACAACGTGCCGATGACAGTGTGGTTTCGGTAAAAGGTCCACATGCCGTGGACTTGCATGGACCATTGCAAAGTTCCTCAGATAACTTGTCTTCTTGGGCTAAGAATCTAGGGATCAAGTTCTCGTCGCAGAAAACTGAACTGGTAGTGTTTACTCGAAAGCGTTACCCAGCCCAAATGCAGCTTAATCTTAGGGGCAGAAAAATTACTCAATCATTGCCTTTCAAGTAGCTTGGGGTCTGGTTTGATTCAAAGTGCACTTGGAATACCCATATAACGTATTTGAAGCAAAAAATGTCAACAGAGCATCAACTTTCTCAGTTCAATTTGCGACACATGGTGGGGTGCTTATCCGGGAGACCTCATAACGCTTAATAAAACAACGATTCTCTCTGTTCTAGAGCACGGATATTTCTGCTTTCTCTCGGCAAGAAAATGGCACCTACTAAAATTGGAACGAATGCAATATCGTTGTCTGTGTATTGTTCTTGGCTGTACGCACTCAACGCATAACATGAGTCTCTCTCAATTTCATTCTTACGACACATAATTTACGCTACACAATAACTTTTCAGTTACATACGCTATAAATTTACATGCATTCAACGTAAAAATGCTGTGCTTGGCGTTACCTGAAAAGTATCGCGGCAGCCATTATCATTGGTGCGTGTTGAGCGTAATGTCGTTTTCGTTTTTACTACACTACACCGGTGTAGTGTAAGCAGCAATAAGTGCGAGTCATTGATAGCTACACCCTAAATTTTTTCGGTGTTCGGCAGTGTAGCACCGGTGTAGCTACACCGCAAAAACGAAAACGACATAAGTGTCGAAAAAAAAATATGAAAAGTGAAAATGCAGTGTATTTTTTTTAATAAGCTGTGTGAGAACATTTCAAGCTTTTCGGAACATATTCGGGTACAGCGGAAGATAAAATGCTTGGTTGAAAATTGTGAAGCAGTGTTTAAGTGTTTATAAACCTTTCCGAAAACATCTGAGACAGCGACATTCAGAAGCAACGCACGCCCCTCTGCAGAAGTGTACACTTCCGACATGCACTTTCGAAGAGGCAAAGCGGAAAAAAAATAACTAAATGTTCAATATCTATCATTGACAAATCAGCGTCAATCCAAGTATGTTCTAAAAAATAATGATAAAAATAAATTTTAACAGCGGAAAAACAATGCAGCGTTTATTTTATTGATTGCGTTCTAAAAGAAACAACCCAAATGAGATTTTGAGACATAAACTCAATTATGGCCATAGAGCATTTCATACTGCTAATATTACATGAGATTTGAATTTTACAGCACGTATAAAATTACATTATTTTGAAACGAAAGACGTGTACATTTCAAACCACATGTAAAAATGCGTTATTAATCATGTAGTCCATTTGTTACATTTAATTAAATGCTACATGTTACATTTAATCGAACTGTGAAGAAGCTTTTTTCAGCACAAAATTCGACATCCGCTTTTATTCAGCATTGTACACTCACAGACAAACAGATATAGTACATTGAATATTTCTCACTGTAAAACATCGTCACAAAACATTACTGCCATCTGTTGAGTACACTATGGTGGGTGGTACGCAGAACAGATGGCGGTAGTGTGCGAGGCGGACGACTCTATCTACGATGCAGGAAATATTGTGTTTTGCTGTGGCTAGCTGAGTAGATAAAAAGAAGATTTATCACGATTTTGAAGATTTCCTGCAAAAAGATGATGCGCGATGCAAGTAGATGCGAGAAATTAAAGAAGATTTTTCGAAGATTTATTCGCTAGTGTGAGATTTTTGGAGCATCTAGAATTGAGATTTCGATGTGTCGCCCCCCTCGGTAGTGTGTAAACGTCAAACGCAAGGGAATTGACTATGCGCACCACAGGTGGCGGTACCAACTACGAAACTTTTAAATTTACCGTTAAATGCTTGTTCGATGAACAACTTACGAGTTTTATGTCTGTTTGTCTGTGGTACACTGTTATACAGCATTTATTCGATATGTGTGCTTATTTGTGACTTTGAATTGTTTGTTGGGCTTAACGACGTGTTCGAGGTATTCAAACCATTTGTGGGATAATTTACCCATCCGGGATACACTTCGTTTATGGTATTTGTAGTAGGGTAGGTATTTCAAAATACAAGTATAAAGTGTCCGAAATATGAATCAAAACGGAACTTGCATTTAAGGATATTTGAACATTAGAGATAGTTTACGTTTGTTAAAAACCATTCAGGTGATGTTGTTATTTTATTCCACAGACTCTTTCTTCAGATTGCGACGCGCATCTCATGCGGCTGGTTCAAGTAATCAAGAACCACTGATCGTAGTGGAAGAATCGGAAAATTGTGAAAAAGAAGAGGAAATCAGTCACACCTCTTCACCCCGGCAAAGTTTAGACATAGACTCTCCCGAAAACCCATATCTGTTATCGCCATGGCGTGACCCCCGAGAAACACGTAAACACTCCCTGCCAACGCCGCCATGCACCAGTGGTATCACGGCCAGTCAAGTACGACGCCTTTCGGAACGAGGTGGAGAGGGCTCAGGGCCATCACCACGAGAACAAGCGTTCCTTGCCACGTTGTACAGTACACCCGCTCCACAGCCTGGCGGTAGGAGGCACTCTATCGTTACAATCAGCAAGGTACCACCTACATTTTTTGGCCGTAATCGACGGGAATCTATTGCCGCGCTTCCTGCTGGACAGAGGTAAGTTTTTAACACGGATGACTGGAGACGTAATGAAACATTTGTTGTGTGATTTTCCGACTTTCAACAGATCCACAGCAAGTTCTCGACGAGAAAGTAAAACTGGTCCACCGCCGTCAACAGATCACAGAGGTAGTATACATAATTTACAATTAGATATTATGGATGATATAGTACAAGCTAGAAAAGCACGTATGAAGTTATGGAATACGAGCAATGAGAAAGTATGTGAAGTTCAAACGCTGGATGAAGCTGGTGCTGGTTCTAGTTCACCGATGCGTTACACGAATAGGCGTTACTCGGATTTTGTGGGCACGACGTTGCCACCTATACAGTCGTTCAGACGCGCATCCGAAATGCCTATTTCGCCGTCTGCCCCACTAACACCAGCAACAGCGTCATCGAAACTAATTACTGCGTCGCCAAAACCAACCAAGTCGGGAATAGTCTGTACAAATACTGACCTAATATCTCTTCTATCGTCCCTAGCTTCATCGGCAACTGAAATAAATAGATGTGGCGATAAAGACTATCCAACCCCTCAAACTCCTCAATCATCATCATCATTTAAATCCATCACTAAAATCCCTCCAGATGCAAGCGGTAGCAACCTAAAGAAAAATCGTTCCAATAGTTTTGACATTTCCCTATATCACAATATTAAGCAATTAGCGACTGGGTCATCAACCAGTGCAACTGAGCAGGAGAAATCATCTGTTGAGCCAGGTTGGTTTGCCAAACGTCACCAACCAATGGACAGGAAAAAACCCATCAAATCTCCTAATGCTACAGTATCATTCGCAAAGGAAGCAATAGATAAAATTCGTGAAAAATCAGATTCAAAAAGTGGTGAAACGAAACCCAAACCCAAAGAATCACGATCACCGCTGAGCAAATTGAAGTGGGACGGTAGAAGTGCAATCGTGGATGCCCGTATGATAGGTCATGCTATTGAGAATTTCATCACGGGTTCGAGTTCATCGAAGAAATCTTCCAGTTCTAAGGACTCTTCTGCCAAACCTAAGAAAACGTCATCCTCCAGCTGGTTTGGAAAGACAGATGACGATGATTCGAACGATACATGTGATTCATCTCTATGCTCAACGTTGAAGGATCTGTTCGTGAAATAAATCAGCGCATGAAGTGGATAGCCCCCAGACTCCAATTCAGTACCCAACGCATTTAAAGGGGCATCAAAGCGTTTGTATAGGATAAGATAAAATGTCGAATTAAGCAAAACTTAACATAGCTGCGCGCAAAAACGAACCCACCAAAGCAGAAAAGTAGCCTTGTAAGTACTATTTCATCAAAATGATCATTTTCTACCCCTCATGTTGGAACACCGCCTACTTCGCCAACTAATATCGTAGTATGCTCTGACTTAGTCCATGCTTGGCACGATAACATTCAACAGACCAGAGATTAAACAAAAGGCACTTAATTAACCACAAACGAAGCCCCTCGGTACGGGACTCCAAGGGGTGAAAGGAGAAAAAGTACGGACTGAGCAAGGATAGTCGCAAATAATCGGTCTCGAGCTAAATGAAACCATAAAGCCACATCATGACTATTTTTATGAAAGCAAACAAAACCGACGCCAAACACAAATAACACGAGGCGATACGTGATACACTTTGAATTCCTGATAGCCAATTATCCATTTCATCCGTGTGCCAGCCGAACCTCGTGTTTTCCACCAGTTCGCTGACACATGATTGAAAGTGGGTATATCTGCCGCATCATTCACCCATGTTCTTTTCCACCAAGCATATATACACATGCATGTATCATGCCAAGCACATGTAACATAGAGCACACCTCTCCATTAGCACCAACCGCCAAGCCACTCAGCACGAGCACATCATTGAAAACTGTTATCTCCTGAAACTGAAATCTGACATGAGTGTTAGTATGGTTAGAATGACGATACATCATGTATTCCACATATGTTATGCTAATAAGTGCTAATTACTGATTGCAAATGATTCAAGTCGATTTGAAATATACTCAGTTGCTGCTGACCACCAAAACGTGCTTACACTCCACCACAGACACACAGACGTAATTATTCGATCATCTTTTAATAGGACCAATACACCCTTAAATATGGTTGACAACCGCTAGGGTTTTACCATATACCGTAGTATATGGTGTATGGTAAAACCATAGCTGTTGTATAACCAGATTGCAGTGTGTTTTGGCCCCATACACCATCGTCAAGAAATTGTGAAAAATGTTGCCGCCTCCAATGACACCGCCATGTCGCATGTAATGTTGTATGCAATATAAATCTATTTTTGAAAAATGGATAGGGGAAGAGGAGGTAAAATTTACACTTTTCGTTGTTAAGTACTTTCTCAGGACCATCAAGCATTGCAATTATTTACATTTTCACCTCATTTTTGTTCATCGGAGGCGCATCAAGCCTTCGCTGGAATGGAATTAATCATATCGTCCGGCCATTTCCACAGAGATGGCGCTGTTCCGCTGGTAGGAAGTGTTAAAAATCCCCATATAGAATTTGAGAGAAGTGGGAATAATTCGCTTTCGGTGCATATTCAGGTCAAAAAAGTGAACGACAACCTGAAGAAATTAGTCAGGGACTTTGTCGTTCAGTTTTTCCCGGATATTATTCTTTAACAAGCTACAATTAAATAAAAATGATTTTTCCTCATACAGTCTTACCTGCTTTACTACCAGTCCCCAGAGAGCCAAAAAAATCAAATTTGAGAGAGGAAATTCTCTCTCACGAGCTCAATCTCTCAATATGCCATGTATTTTGATGCCACTCGATTTGTGATTTCCCTTTCACAGATTACAGAGTAGAGTACCTGTCACTACAAAACATGTCTGATACATGCAGTTAGTTTAACATTTGAAGTCCCTCCTTTTTTTCATATTCTGCACAAAAGACACTTTCTGCCCCGCCCAATACATAAAAATCGGCGGGAAATTCTGTGAGGGGTGAGCTATTTTCTGTGCAGAATGTGTAAAAAAGGATTTCGGATGTTAATATAAATTCATATATACACGGAACCGAAAAATTACCCAAAATTTAGTTCTTTTCACTCATCTCCTTTCAATAAGCTAATTTTCAGTAAACCGCCTATAGTAGTTTACATTTGAATGCGGAAAAAAATAATTACTTACTCGTGAGTACACTTACAAAATAACTTAAATTTAGAGTATTTTTTTCTCTGTGTAGAGGTACCAGACATGTTTTGCACTACACTGTCCTCTGTGAACAATTAACGGAAAACAAATTATGTGTAAGTTTCCGATAAATTTCACCGCGAACAACAGCAGTGACATCTGATGGAAAATGAATGCAGAAGCTTGACAAAATGATTAATTGGAGGTAAGCGTAAAAATAACTGTAACATCTGCGATATATTTGCCACGAACAGTAAATCACCAAAATCAAGCAAAATATATAAAAATTTCAATGAAATGTCACGATTTCTTCGACAACTCTAGACTAGCTTCCCAAGCTTCAGTGGCTACTTTTGGATGTGGCATATACTGCTGTTATACGCATAACTGTCCCATGTTCTACGCAATCCTTATGCAGCGTGGGACTCTTATGCATATAACGGCAGTATAGGTCATATTGAGTGCCTGAAAATGTACCGAGCATTCATGAGCATTCAAAAACAAGTTCAAGGAGTGCCTAGGCCCACATCCGGACACACGGCCCAGGCAAGTAATATTCCCCAGATATTCTCCAAATCTCAAACTTGTTTTAAAAACTTTACCCAACGTTACTTCAAAATAAAGCTTAATTTGATGTAATAACAATACAGAAAATAAGAACTATTGTTGCTAAATCGCAGTGAAGAAGTGGATCGAATGGTCGTACATATTTTCAAACACATAGTTGCGCATTGTAAAAGTAATGTGCATATTTATCGTTCTGGTGGTCAGCACATTATCACGCAGATGAATAGTTCCACGCCAAATAACGAATCAAAAATACTCGATCTTCTCCGATTTGCATGAATCTTAGCATTATTGTTTATTATGGGCAATAATTCACATTTTTGCTGAAGTTAAACCATTTTCAATCTTCTAAAATTTTCAAAATGGCGTTTTTGAACTTTTAAAATATTGTAGCCTGGAAAACGCACTTCTGATTTAAATGACGTTTGACACAAAGTTATCGAAAAAATAACGTTTCGGTGGAAAAAACAAACCAAGAAATGTTTTAGTAATTTAAAGAAAAAATAAAATCCTTAATATATGAAAATGTAATTAATACATTTTTATTTTTTTAAAGAAGCTCGCTAGCGGCACCGGTGGTGTAGTGGTAAGCGTGGTTACCTCTCACCCCAGCAGGCCTGGGTTTTGTTTTGTTAAAACGTTTTTCAATGTAATTTATACTCAGAAAACAATGATTGAGGCATTTTAAATCGTTTCTGTGCAATATTAATAAAAAAATCATACTTACAAAAAACTAAAAAAAAAATACCAAAAGTTTAAGTTCTATGATTTGTGTCAGTTTTTAAGTGTTTATGGTTTTGAATATTCGAAAACTTTGCAATTTCCATAAGCTTTTTTATGAGAAATAATATTCAAAAACTGGGCAAACATATTTTGAGATACACGGTTTTTTATCCAGAAAAACATTATTTTTCTTTACAGCTTTGTCTCAGATGTCATTTCGGTCAGAAAAACCGTTACCGTGCTACAATTTTTGGATAAATTTCAAAGAAGCCATTTGGAAAATTTTACAATATATAGTAATTTTGGTATGGTATTTTTTTTTGCAAAAATGTGAATAATTGCCAATAACAAACAATTACGGAAAGTTTCATACAAATTGGAGAAGGCTGATTGCTCAGATATGCAATCTTAATTGTCGATTATTCTTTCGTTGCATAATAACACTGTGCACACATGCTTTTTCTATGTGGCTACCGTAAACCGCTCTGATTCAGCGCAAAGCCTAATTCTGCGCATTTTTGCAACGCATAGCTATATTTTGTGATATTTTCTGAACTACTGTCACCATTATGGATTATTTCCATTGGATTGACGCTCTGGACTAAGTGACTGACCCAGGAATGTTATTAGCTAATCCATATATGTGGAAAGACTGTAATTCAGGATATACCTTATCAACACTTTCAACTCAATCCAATTTGTCGAAAAATTCAAACATTTTTGGAAATAGTGCTGAATTACGGCCCTATACGGTAATCACATTTAAGTTTGTAACGATCTAACAATACTACCTACAAATCATGCAGATTCAGCACATACCACAATCGCAAACGCCACAAAGCTAGCTTATGAAATTTTGCGCTCGGAAGCGAACATAAATTAGTACAATCACAAATTACAAACAGACTTCAGCTAATCCTACCATTACTCGAATCAGGACGAACGTAATAGTCAAACTATCATCTAGATAGCGTAGTAAATTATTATTCAAGGATTTCACATAGTTGGATGACAATGAAAATCAATTAGATAGATGTTCATTATTTTATGTTAACTCAAACTATAGCTTTTTACACAAAAATACAATTGGCAATCCACATCAGTTTTCTATTAAATTTTTAATAAATATATTTTAACGAAGCGATGGGATAAACAAGTAAGTGCATACGTGCAAGAAAATGTCACACCCTTTCAACAAAAACATTATTATCATTTAAAAGAAATGTGTTGAGAAGCACTAACCATTACAAATTTAAGAAACATTGAGTGAGCTAATTTTTGTTTTACTAAATTAAGGTTGAATCATGAACAGAGATTATAAACTCACATCCATAACATGAACATGAGCATGATTGACCGCACGCGGTTGCTACTCCGTTATTGCTAGATCACATGTAACACTTGGGACAGAACCCAACAGGTAAATTAGGAAACTTGAAGGAATGTGTTGACGTGACACTAGTTTTACTGGAAGCTATAAAATCGTTTACACTTCCACACAGGGATGTTGTAAAAATAGGTTGGTATTATGGCAGGGTTTGTTTTAGTAAAAGATACGCTTAATTGATGGGTTCATGCCAAGAAAGATAGCGACGCGACACTAATGATTCTATTACGTGAGGAAGTCTTGTATTAAACATTGAACCCACAATCTTCTGCTCAGTAAGCAAAACCGGTTGCCACTAGGTCACCGAGCCCCAACTGTCATGCAAAACGAAGTATCATCAGGAAAACGGTACTACCGATGACATTTATAGAACAAAGGTCTACAGCCATGAGAAAAAAGGCTTACCTCCAGTGGTGTCGAGAGTTACACATTTGCTGAGATTATATTTACAGACACGGATAACCTGGATGCAGGACAAGTTGCATGAATATATAAAGAAGTGTTGATATTTATCTTTTTTATCATGGACTTAAAAGTAACGATGTTCGTAGAACAGACATTTTTCAGCACAAAGAGCTTCATCTTTTACATGTATTCGATAAGTACCTAGCCGTTATATTTTATAGATCTATATTTTAGCAAACAATTCTTAGTTTTTTTTTCCTACACTACATGATTATCACTGTTATCGTCTATAACAACCATAAATTAGAGTTCATTGTACCTGATGAAATAGAATTACCACTATCACCAACAATGAGGAATTTGAAATATAGAAGCGATAGTGTTACAACAATCAATTGCTTGCAAGCCTCATCACTATCTCACAGCATTCAACCAAACATAAAACATAATGGCACACTGGTATATACAATATACGAAATGCCACATAATCCTAAACGTGTCCGGAATTCATAGTGCGCCTCAAAATAGATCGTACCAGCAAACCAGGCGATAAACCAAAAACGAACTCGTTGTCTGTTGCAGCGGTTGAGCAGCTGGTGTAGAAATTGTATCACCCGACATTCATATATTGTTGGTTCAAATGAGATGCATTGGCGTAGCTAATGGGGGTGCCAAAGGGGCCAGGCCCCCTCCAGAATTATTTAGGCCAGGAATTTTGGGTATTTTTTTTTAAACACCGGTATTTTGTCAAGCAGTTTTGAGCTTACCTTTTATTTAACTCAACTAAACTAAACTCAAATTTGGGTTGTTCTCATTCGCCGTGTGGTCGCACAGAACTTGTGCACTTTGGCATTATCCGGTTTCTTCGGCACGTTCGCAAAATCTATGCGAAAGGTGTTTTCTCGACGACCCATCGCGAAGTGGACGTCTGTTATAACTCAATTTCATGTCATAATTGACGCTCGTATATGTCAGTCTCAGAGCACCTAGATTTACATGATTTTTTTCTAAGTGTGTGGTTTATGATTCTATGACTAGCACTTCTGAACTTATGTCTTTGTTAATCGTTAACTATTTACGTCCTTTTT